CCACTTCCGTTCAGTCTTTATGGTACACAGAACAATTACGACTAGAATGCTCTGGACACATCAACAAGAATGGAAGGTGCTTCTCTGAATGCTTGATGAAATTTTAGTGATTCTCCTAGTATTAAAACCTTCAAAGACCATTGGCCATTTCAAACAATTTCCACTCCTCTCCTACAACTGACATGTTTTCTTGTCAATTTTATTGATATTCTCACCATATCTAACAGCTTCGTCGAAATCTCAAGGAGACTTGAGAGCAAACGCGGAAAAGTTTCGCGTGTATTAGAATGAGGACGCTTTTTTGTCGTTTACACGTTACGTTTACGTTTATTTTACACAATCGATTATAAAAAAGATTCAAATGAATCTAGTGAAGATCGAAATAACCGCTACCGAAAAAAACAGACGCTGTGGAGGTAAACGGGTACTTTGGTCCTTGCCCGTGAGTGTTACCGTACCTATCAGATGATCAGGAATTGTAGATTAAGATTATTTGTCACCTTATTCCAGAAAAGCTTTTAATGGACTTTCTGTTGTCAGTGACGTCATGCTGATAGGAAAATTTTAGTGACGTTTGATAATGGCGACCTTGTGAATGTTCTTTCAGATGTGGCCCGTTTTTGTTGATAATTATTGAAACATATCTGCAATTTAGAAAATCACAGGTCTTAGCTGAAGATAGTAACTCTCCACATTTGAGCAACTTTGATCTGGAAAGACACGAATTGGTGAGCGGTCCATCTAATCACCGCTGAAGTATTCCGACCAATCGCGCCTGGGGTAGACACGGTAACCGATCGAGCCTGGGGTAGATACGGTGACAGCAGAACTCCTAACCGTTCCGTAATATCACGATTACTCCGAAGATTACGGTATCCTCATATTAGGTTAGCAATAATTATCTGCCGTTTTACTAGGCTCATGGCTCTTTGATTTTTTGCTGGTTATTTTCAAAGGTCATGATGTAGTTTGAAAGCGCGCGATCCTTGTACATTTTAATACAACACTGGGGTCGTAAGGTATGCTTCCCCGAATGGTTGCGGGGACGAAAGTCCCTTTAAATTTTTTGTTTTGAACGATACTGTTTCTTCATTTTCAATGCATGTTTACTTTAACCTACATACATTAAATGTAGGCCCTTTATCAGGACAATCCCAGTTGGGAAGACAGAGAAAATTTAAAGGGATTTTCGTCCCCAACCCTTCGGGGAAGCATACCTTACGGCCCCTGGTATATTTGCTTCACTATGGAACTTACCCGTGAGCAAAATGATTGCTCACGCTGCATGAAGCCTGGGATGAAGGCACGGTTGCAGAGAAGACTGTTCGAGAGCGTTTGTTGATTACGCATTTATTGTTTTTGTTTGGTTTTGTTAAAACTTATGAGTGAAATGGAAACGACGGATAATTATTGCTCAACCTAATAAACGCTGCAAGCTTACTGTTGTTCTGTCTTTCCGAGAAGACGACAAGCTCTATTTGATATTTGTGAGAGCTAAACCGTTTTTTTAGCAGTCTGCGTAGTGCTTTTTTTGTTGTCTGGAGTTCAGTTGTACTCCCTGCAATTTGTAACCGCCTGCGCCAACAAAGGCTTTCTATCTTGCAAGAGGAAACATTCGCATGATCTTCGTCCAGTAATCACAACTTATAGGAAATGTCAACAAATTTTATTATTAGTTTACTTAGGAATAAATGACACTTAAACAATGCATTTAATTATGCATTCCAACAAAACAATAGCCAGTGATCTTAGTAAATTACTCGTGTGTGTCTGTCTGGGTTGAAGGGACTCAGTGATTGAATAGTAAACTCGAATGTAAAGGACAAGAGTCTGTTGGCACCGAAGATAGCAACAAAATGACTTCCTAGAATGTAAGGAATGTTACAGAGTCGACTAGACTATGTCGCGGAAGTCTGTTCACAGAGAAAAGGGAAAGAGGGGGAAGTAAAATCCAGTGGCGATCAGAATGAGATCAATCTTCAGACATTACCGTAGTCACGTGTTGCAACAGTATGTTTTGAGATAACTGAATGAACATCGGTTCTCGCAGCACTCGGTAGCAATACCTGACCGTTTGATCGACAAATGCAAAGACTCCAAAGGAGGTTCATGCCACGTGAATGATCCTGAAATGTGGAAAAAATTATCCAGGATCGACCCTTTTTTGCCACTGGTACACTTATTCTGGATACGAGCTTTTAGTTTAGCCGCCCAAATCAGGTTATTTTATTCAGCTAACGTTTCGACTTCTTTGTCATCGTCAGAGCCTGGGAAAGTCAAAAGTAAATGTGACTTGCGGCGCTATCGCAAGGTACGGGGGCATCCTCTAGGACTAGGCCTAGGATGAGGCAGGAACTTTTGCGAAATTGCAAATGCTCAAGCATCTTGGAATAGCTCCTCCCCGCTTAAAGCTTAGTCCGTTCTCAACGAAAAAGCAACGTTTTACGCGATTCCGAATGCACTGCCACCACAATGCCCCCGTGTCTTGCGATAGCGCCAACCAAATGTGGCTTGCTTTCTTTACAGTAATGGAAACGATTCCCTTGCACTAGTGAGCCACCGACCGCCATCGATAGATAATTTTAGGTTGTCCCAAAAGTCTTTGCCCATTTCCATGTGTATGTTGTGAAATCTTCAGGGATAATTTTTGACCATCCATTGTAAACATATGTAAACCCTAGTCAATGATCTCTTCAGAGCATTTCTGCCGTGGTATTTCGCAGCGATTATGGCTGAGAAAATCGACTTTGACTGAAAGCATATTTGGCTACTCTTGATTCTAAACCCAGAAAACGCGTCAGTGGAAGCGATGCGGCAAGAGCCCTACGTCTTGCGATGGCCCGACATGGCAAACATTTGGTTGCCGATGTCCAGAAACTCGAGAAAAAAGCCAAAGTCGGTCGGCTTGTTACCCTGAGTGACGAGTGTCTTCTGGAGTTGTTTGGAAACAGTCTCTGGTGCAATGCACGGTAACTGACACAGCTTTTCCACAGTCAGAACACAATAGCCATTCCTCAATAGCTCCTCAAAAAGAAGAGAAATTATGGCAAAAGGAGATTTCGTGATCTGGGTGACAACCGCCTCAGAAGCCTTCAGATTTTGCATGAACATTTTGATTTACCGGCTGTATCTTGTTTGACCCGACTACTTTGTTGGTGGTAGCAAGGAGTGGGTTCCTCAAGTAAACCACACCCGCGAGCGCCACTGGCTCAGACGCGTAGAACCAGAGATTCCGAAAGGCCGATTTGGGTTGGTAAAGCTGCAAGCGATTTGCTCACCGATGGCCCCAGCCAAAGAACTGTACTGCTACTGTTGAACGATAGTGTGGAAGAACAGGTGGCTCCACCGGCACTTTGGAAAACATTGCAAAGTTCACTTCATCCAAGCAACGACCGTCAAAGCAAATTTTGAAAGATGTCTAGCAAAGCCTCCAGCCCCTTTTATGGATTTCTTCCTCGCTTTATTGTGTTAAGCAGCGGCCCACAATAAAATACCCTCCGCTTCTGCTGCTGCCAATTCCACTAAAAAAGAGAGAGCTTCATGTTCCGGACTACTCGAAAACGGACTTCTTCCAGATTTTCCCTTCGAAAGCTCAGGATTTCTAGGCAAACGGCATTCACAAGCACTGCTGAAAGGCAATATGTTGACGATTATGATGGGGCATATGATTACTTTAATTCTGGTGAGCTTAAAGCCACGAGTCAGGCTCAGTGGACCAAACCAATCACTTTAGTCGTCTATGTGCATGGCTACGCACCCACAGGGACGTTGCCATGCTCAGAATCTCAAAAGGCGCCGTAATAACGCCCCAGGGCATGCATTAAGCGCTCGCGCCGCCTGGAGGCGCTCCGGCCGCCCACCATGGGATGTGGTGCATGGCTGGCATAACGTGTGAGAATCAGCTAGGTTGATTGCCGTATCAACCGATAGAACGACTGACATCTCCAGAAAACTTGTTTGTACGTGCCTCTTTCCCAAGCCAGCCTCCTTCACTGCTAGTGGGAAAGAGGGTTTTGTTAACGGCCTTGTCGACGGTTTTTCTCAGTTTTTTCTCCACTGTCGTTCCACTTCGCATCTCTATACTCAGTTTCAATCGCCATAATACCCCCTTATTGAGCCCGACTTTTGCCTTTAAAGAACAAAGGAATTGTGATAACAATTCGCGAATGAGCAAACACTTTCAGGACAATCTAATACAATGAATGCTGATTAGGCATTACACTGATCAGCGCCTTCGTGAGTTAGGACGACCACACCCCGAATTTCGTTTTGCTCTAAGCATAAGAGCCACATTACGTCTCGTCCTCATGCTTGATCTCCACTCATCATACAAATAAAATTCGCCAGAGGGCAAAGGTAAGGACGCGAGTTTACAGGCCTTCTTTTACTGCCCATTGTCTTGTCTATGCTAACTTCAGGACCGCTCTAAGGTTTTTTGGGCGTGGTATTCGGGCTTGTTGGAAAGAGGGACACTGTGACCTGGACCAGACCGTTCCATGGGAGTGCAGCAAGCCATTAGCGCCGCATGGACCTTTGATCATCGCAGACCGTCCACGTGTTTCTACCCCGAGTACAACTAATTTATCCTGTGCATTCACTACCCGCAATCTGAGTTCTGAATATCCTCTCCTCTTGTGCTCTGTGTATCACGCAGGTCGAAGTGCCACACTGGCAATCGAGAAGCCTATTGCGAACTAATGGGCCAATTCAAGTAAACCTCGTGATTTCAAAATGTGATTTCTTAATGGGGTAAATAATCACATAATCATTTCAAGTGATGCTGACTGAGAGCAAATCAGAAGAAATTGCTATAAGTTATTTCATGGACGTTGACAATGTAGCTGTTTTCAAGTCCAAAAACAAGTGCGTCCGAACAACAACCTTCCGTGCGACGGGGAGCAATGAGGGCAGGCGAGAAGATTACTTTTTCTGTCACTTTCATTTGTCCAAAAAGTACTGCCACCGCTTTATTAAATGTGAATCGAGAACTGAACGTACGTTTACTCAGAGCGAATCCACCACATAGTTGATTTCGGCATATGGACATGAGAGTTCGAGTCAATCGGACGCCACACAATCGAATACTTGTCTCGGCTACGGGTATCGTGATGAACAGCAGAAGCAGCAGCAACGATGGACTGAAACACTCCGTATGAATCGGTTATCAAACAGCAACAACAATCGTGCAGCCGTTCCTGTACGTTTCAAATCAACTTGAAACTTAAACTGTGCCCTAATTCGACACGTACAGGCCTTTAAAAAATATTTCATATTTCAGGGAGGATTCAACAATAAGACGAAGGTGGAAGAAGAAAATTGCTTAGTGGAGAGATAGGTGGATCTCCTGAGGGTGCGGACTGACCCGCAGTTGGCAGCGAAAAGATTTGACCTCGGCGATCTATATGCACTGGCTCACTCTCGCGCAGTTGGCGCGGTACGCCCACCAACTATCTGATCACTCGCCGCAGGTCCATACGCGGCGATTAAATAGCAAAGAAAGCGCTAAAGTTGGGCATAGACACATTGCAAGTCGTTATCAATGCGGAAATCAACAGGCTAGAGAGTGTCCCATTTTTCGGGTTCTGAGCCGTTTTCATGGTTTTTTCCTTTGCACCCTCAAATTAATTTGATAGTTGTGTGTGTTTTTAATGTAAATTTTCCCTTCCAAGGCTTCTTACCTTGTGTGAAAAACAGACTGTTGTTACTTGACCGATCGTGTCATCTTCAGCTGCTGTTTATCACCGATACCTATCTTTTTATTGGGAGAAGTAGAAATGTCGTATTTGGATGTTTGGCGGATCGTAGATCGGTACACCAGGAATAGATACTTCCTGACCTCTTCAGGTCGACAATCCCCGGGAGCGAGGGGGCGTAGCAGGAGTTTGCTATTTTGAACCAGGATCAACGACACGAGCGTGGAAGCTAGAATGCACTGGGCATGGAACTAGAGTGAATAGTATTGATTATGGAGAGAAAGAAGATACCAGTCTTCATTAGATTCATCATGTCGTACAGCACTTCCCCGATACGACTCTGACCCTACTTCTATCTGTGGCCCTCGGAAGCACGAAAACTTGAAGTCGCAATCCACTATCAATTTGCTCCACGTTATAAGAAATCCATGCATTGAAATCTTTCCCAGGCTCGTTGATAGAACTTGATACCAAAAAAGTCAATCATTTCAGGAACAATTTTGAATTTTTGTCTGGTATGAGAGTTTCAAAGGACAATTACATGCTCGAAAAAGGTGAGAACATTTGAAAAGGAAGTGAATTAAAAGGTGTACGTGCTGTTTTTACTAGGGAGACGGTCAATTCAATCGTCGGCTAATGAGGTCACGCCGCTCACGCGGCGGCAGCGTCGCGCGCGGCAGTTGGTGCGGCGATTTTGTGTGGGCCTTGGCTTAACGGTCCTTGTCCATAAGTTGCTGGTGGGGTTAGAGAACTGATAAGACCAAGTTCCAGACATCAGTGAGCCAACAAGCGTCACCTTAAGATCTCCGCAGTTATTTAAGCCTCACTGTACAGAGCTTGTGCCATGTAAAGGTTGTCCTTTTGAACATAATGAGACTTCTTTATTAATCAACTGCCTGAATTGTTATCAGAGAGCGATAATCTGGCTAAATCGGAAAAATATTACGTTCCAAGACGCAGTGGAACGGTGAGGAAGGCATAACATCAGTATGACAGAATAAGTTTGTAAATAATGGCAAAGGACAAGGATCCTGTATTTTAAGGGGGCAGGTGATCATATACCGTGTTTCACGACTGGGAACTTCATCTAATCCTACATTCCCCAATGCTAGAACCCTGAATTCTAGCCACGGCCGACGTCGCATCGCGGGCTGCGGCGGCTGGCGCGGCGACCTAGCCATCGCCACGATTGAATCGTCACGCACCCTCCTTACTGAACAAAAAGACCTTCGTCAAATCGCAACAGTTACAAGGGAATGAACATCCATTAGCACCTTCTCCTTTATCGCAATGGCAGTCAGATAAATAGTTAAAGGAATCCCTTCGCGGAAAATTCTTGCATTCTTTCTCAACATGAATGTATCAGTTGTGATCACTAGATGCAATACTCGTCGCCAGCATTTGTGACAGATGTGCGGCGGTACTTTGAACGCGTAGCAGCCCTTTCGTTTTTCGAATTTTTACCAAAACAAATGCAATTTTTCTGTTCTTTTCATTCTTATCGTGGATGATGGATGAAATTGAATCATGATTTTTCCGTGGAGGATTCCTTTAAAGGCACGCTCCGGGATTAGGCGCGCTCGCCTGTTCCATCCCGGGGGTAGTAGGCAGGCGGACAAGCGTTGATGTCGCGCCCCTTTTGCCGCTTGAAAGTGCGCGACAAAGGCGCAAGGAGCTCGTCCGACCCGCAACTCACACCTTCGTCCGCAAGCCCCACCCTCCGCTGTCGGTTGCCACGTGGCGCTGCTTGAAAAGCGCGGGCGCATTTGAGGCAGCGGTCCCATTGCGATCCAATGTTATTGACACTGGAGCAAGTAGAGTTAGGTTCGTGAAACTCGTCCAACGCGCCCCTTCTCTATCCCAAGGTGGAATGTGGCTGAAATAGGGGAGGTCTCTGTACGGGGCGTAATCGGTGGTTTCGTTTGCTTTCCTTCTCTTTTCCAGACCACCTCCCACCTCTAGCTTCATAACTGAACGCTTTTCCACACCTATTTTATCCCGAATCTTGCCTTTAACTCAGATAAACAGGCAGAGGTAAATCAGTGATAATGACGCCTCGCTAAATGCTCATGGGCTCTGAATGATCGGGTAGTGGATTGTATTTCGGCTAAACCGAAGGCTGCAAAAGTCTGTGCTTGTTGGCACCGGACCCGCTTCACAGAATAAACCCTTAGATGTGTTGGAAAGGCGGCAATGGTCCTTATTTGAATAACGGTGAAACTCCAGTTCGGGGGGGCCACTCCATTGCTATCTTATCCGTAGTACTAGAGAGCAGTTCTTTGGGCTATCGAACACTACGGATAAGATAATAAGTGAACGACTCATTTCGAGCGTACTTTTGATAAGGACCGGTGGATGTCCTACATTCCACACTACCTGCCCACATCCCATCCACTTTTCTGCACAGGTGATCCACCCTGGAGCTCCTGCACCCTTAGCCCTTTGCGGAGGTGTCCTTTCTCCTGGTCCAGGACCGTTCCCTTGGGTCATGGCAGGCGGAAATGTGAAAACGTTTCAGGGTTTCTCACCCATTACACCAATATTTATCAGAAGTCTACTTTAAATGAGTCGATTACGTGTCGTGAGCCCTCTAATCCTTATCTTGAGTATTGGAGAAAAAATGGAGTGCCCCCCCCCCCCGAACTGGAGTTTCACCAAAGGCCCCTTAATGACCAATGCACTGAGCTGATGCTTCTGTCAGCGTATTAATGTACAGTTCGCGCGCAATAAACATAATTATAATCATCTGACGGGAAGCTGGCTGCCTGCAGTGGTTCTGAACTCTATGGAGTTTTCAGTGCTTCTAATGGTACCGTGGTCTTAGGTGTAACACCCAACTGCTCTAGTGAGATTAGCAAATATCACAGTTCCTTAATTGTTTCTTTGAATTACTGTTTTCGCCACTATCGTGATGGAGAAGGTCGCCACAAAGGTGCTGCAAGGTCCACGTTGAATTCCTGCCTGAACCAGATCAAGGAATAATTCTGCATCCTTCTGATCGCATTGAAACTTTCTCGCATCCTTCGCGACCTTGCAATAGTCACTTCATCAAGTCTATAAAATTTTACGAGCAGTGGAATCGTCTTCGCTCCATGTCACTGTGCATTGTTCTTATGCGTTCATCATGGTTATAATCTCTTCGGAATTGTTCATTTCGGGAGAACATAGTGCTCGTTTCCCTTTGTTCCTTTGTTCGAATGTTTCGGAGGAAACAGCAGAATGAACAACGCGACGACCTCTCCAGTAATTTTTAAAGGCACGCCCCAGGATCACATCGGTGTGGCTCTTGTACAAGGATGTGAACGTATTGGTGGGAAGTGGGCCGTACGTAAAGAGTAAAAGCAAAAGTACCGTCAAAACGCTTAGGTTAAGGGCTCACTCACCTTCCTAATCGGCTGTGCTAAGGGAATGAGAGACTAAGCGCGGAGAGGAGAGTATGAGGCGAGAGAGCGCTACAGATGAGAGATCGCCAGACAACAGCCTGATAAGAGAAAAAAAGTCTGCAGCTTGGGCAGCTTACTTTGCAAGGCCCAAGCGCTCTTATCGGTCGGTTTCCGTGCACGAGAACGCCACATTTGTGATTGTCCTCTAGGGGTCTATACTACAGACCGAAGAGAAGCGTTCACACGAACTCTGCCTGGGTTGTGCCTTTAAGAAATTGACAGCGCTAGCTTCCAGGTTGAGCTAAGTTCGAAGCGTTTTCAACCGATGGGCTTGACATAAAAGCTGAGACAGAGAATGACGTATGAGCGTGACCTCATGAGAAATAAGGTGAGTAAGGGTGCTTGGTATGAAGGGCGCCGCGGAATGAAAACTGGGAGATCACGATAACGGTATCATATGAGACATGCTGCCATTGAAACCCCTTTCACGTCCAAACTTAGGTGGTGCTGGTTCCGGAATGGCCGCGTTGCTCCTGTAATCTATTCGTAAGGCGCCGCCGTCCTTGAAGTATCAACTATCTGCTTATTTGGTAGGACTCCTGTCCATACGTTGTGTAAATTTCCCATTCGTCAACATGAGATTTATCGCGACCACTTCCTTTGAGTCAATAGCATTGAGCAAGGCGAGTATCCAAATTATTCTACCATTCGATTAGGCCCATTCAAAAAGTCTTTGCCGTTTTTCATGTCTTAGTTAAATGAGTTATTTCTGGATCAATCTTAGAGCATAACTTCATGGTTAAATTGCTTGAAAGTGCGCTTCTCTTTCTATCGAAGGCGCTTTTTTCACATAATTGTTCGAGCTTCTTCGAAACCTTGAAAGTGACAAGTAGGTGTCGTCAACGCATTTGCGCATCCCCGTTTTGCACATCCGAACCCTGCAGAAGTATGACCAGCTCAGCTACGACACTTCGCTGCAGAAACTTGCTCGTCGAATTTCTCACTGACTGTCCACTTTTCCAATCAACTGGGTACCTTCTTAAAGGCAAGCCCATGATTTTG